TTAGTGAAAGGTTAGATTGTTACTCTGATCTCGGAGTCTGCAGGGATCACAGTTTCCGTTAGGCCTCACTCTTGATTGGTTTGAGGAGAATTAGTAGATAGTCATAATTATTCTTCATTCTATTTGTATGGTTCTTTTACCAATTGCTTATCGCCTCTGTACTACATACATCTTTAGATTGATTTTACAGACAGATTTTAACTAATTTTCATAACCATTATTTTTATTAGTTTATTTTTCCACGTTTTAGTTTAATTTCTGTACTGAAATTCTGCTTCGTAATGTATTCTGTTTACCGATTCTTAAACTACCTTTGTCATTAATGTCTCTCGCTTTATCGCCTGTACATTTTATTCATTATCATTACTAGCTGTGTTATCCTCTTGATTGTTGCCGGAAATTCACAAATTCCCTTTTACATATAATTGGAATGAATCTTGACAAAGATCAGAGTGAAGATAATATTATTCATCAATACATATCCTATATTCTAAGTGTGTAATAAGCATATTTTAACCATTAAAACTGCTTTCTGTTATTTGTGTCCAGCGATTTACAAAATAAAAAAAAACACAAATACATTGAACAGTGAATTATTTTTCGATACAAACGATAACTAACTCTTCTGATTAGATAAAACAACTGAATTTGATATTTCAATATTTACTTTTTTGAAACACACATGATAAACTGTTTTTGCACCAACTAATTCAATGATAAACTGATAGAAGATAATAATTTCCAATGAACCAATGAATCAGTGAATAAAACACTTTTGTAATCATAAGAATATAAGAATAAAAGTATTTCTGGTTCACATACTTTTGAATGTTGCCATTTTTTTGTTCGTTTTTTTAAATTTTCAATACTTCTGCAGACATAATCAATCATTTAAAGCATTAGCTAATTTATAAGTACTTGTCGAAATAAACGAAGCAATAACAATATGTATTATGACTAGTAGTGATATTAGTGAAGTATAAAATCAAATGAACGGAGTACTGTTAGTGATAATCACAATAGTTATCCAGAAACAACAATAACACAAGTAAGACAATAGCTCTTACAGAATTTGATATGATGTATGGACAACAGACAATAGAAAACGTTTAACAAAGTGAAAGTAATGTAAGTCTACAATCAAAATTTATACAGTTAGGGAAAAATGAATTAGCATTCTTTAATTTAATGAGTTTTCTATAAACAAAAAAGCACGTGTTGCAGAGATGGATGAGAGGCATTAGAAAATTGTGGAATCTATTGACAGCTATGTGAGGAAGAGATAATACTCACTAAATAAATGCAAATAATCAACAACAAAAAATCACCATTTATATTATTCAAATCGAGCTGAAAAAAATGTTGATTTAAGAAATGTTTCATTTGAATTTACTGACTATTTGTGATTTGAGTTTAGGGGAAATGGTAGAACAGCAAATGAATGAACTAATCTACTTTCATGAAATTCCTTTTAATTACAGAATTGAATAACTGTTATCATTTCATTAAAATTGTTATCTTTCACAAATCATTTTAAACAATGTTTATGCCATCAATTGATTTTGACAGAAAGTTTATTGAAAAGAAAAAAAAGAATACGCTAAGCAGTGTATCATGTGGTCAATGCTTAGTTGAAGCTTTTAACTGATTAAAAAACCTGAGGGGCATTGTCAGGAGAATGAAAAAAAAATACGGACGTTTCAATGATAAACAATAGTTAACAGGTTTTGATTAATTGCAACAATAATACCATTGACATATTCATGAATGGTGTACATGAATTCTGAATACAAAAAAAAATCATTATGGACACTATATGGGCTGGTTTGATGGAATGTTTTCGAAATTCCATTGATATTTACAATAACAATACAGAAAATGAAAGTCAAGTGCATAGTCAGAAATCATACTGTGAAAGAATGCATTCTCAATTAATGAATGAAATATAACGACATACTTATGGACAAAAGCGAATTAAAATCAAACAGTCAGTTAGTCTTTTTCATAGAGAAGTCCAGATGTTTAATTTTCAATTAAAGTAAGTGTAGACGATGGCGTTTACAAAGTCAACTAAATGTTTTCGTGAAATCATCAACAAGGATTCTAAAATATTATCATACAGCAATATAAATAGATATTTTTCATTTTCGAAGATTGCCGACAAAAAATCTATAATTATTTTACTATGTATTTTTGCCAGTATGAACCGTGATGTATTGAATATAGTATCGATGAAGTAAAGTGGGTCAAAACACGAAAATATGCTTTTGATAGAACAGTGAGAAGACGTAATTGATCTGATCAACTACGTCTTCTCACTGCTCTATCAAAATTTATAAAAGGGACTAATTGTTTTACAAAAATAAAAAATTCTTATTAACCTATGAGTTACGTCGTGTATGATGTAAAAAATTATTTAAATCTACAACGTTCAATAAAGCTTCATTTGACACATAACTTTGAGAATCTAAACACAAATGATAAAGTAACAATGAGATATTAATGCCTGAAATTTTATTTTTTAATTGAAATCGACTATGTTAAGAATATCGTAATGATTCATATTTAGAACAGCACCAGGATATAAAGAATTGATGTTCATTTAGAAAAACAGATCACGTGATCATCAGAGATTGAATTGCACGTTAGTCTTCTATGTATGTTATCCTTTTAATTGTCATTTTAGATTTTTCATGTACTCAGAAAAAGACATAAAACAGAAATTATATAATATGACAATGATTTACGTAATCAAAATGGATACATTGTTGATTATTTTTTCTCTGTAATAAATGGATCCAGGTATTCTGAATATTGTTAATTTGAAATAATTCTACTTGATTCTTAATTTGGATTGTTACATCGAACCTCAGGCATCGTTTTAAGTTCCTCTCCAAATAACACGTGAAATGAATGAGACTGCTCTATGTAAATTACATTGAACTAGATGAAATTTTTATTAAACTTGTTGTAACACATCAACACATTCAAAAAGCTTAACCCTGTATTTGGAAAGACAGATTCAATGGTGTGAAAATGAAATCAGTGTTTTGCATAAACATATTCTATCTTCTTAAAATTTAAAAAAAAGCGTTATCCAAGTCAATGACGAAAATAATTAATCATCACGAATATTTTACGACAGCCAGCAAGACTAAAAATCAATCCACATTTCTTTTTTCTAAAAAGTATATGTTCTTAGTACGTCTTTTGAGCATTATACTTTACCAGTAATCTTTGTGAACAAAAATATTTTCTAGTTTAATTAACTACTGATTTGAATATGAACTTTTTGAACTTAAGATTTTTCTCTGATTAAAAAGCAATGCATGTTACCGATTTATGTACAATTGTCTAAAATTATTCGCATCATTTATGTGTAGAATAAAGAAGAAGAATGAAACAAACACTGTGAAAAGGTTAGGTAAAATTTTAGTATGGAAATTTTCATTTCGACGATTACTCCTTCTCAAACGCTTTTCAAATATTATATATATATATATATATATATATATATATATATATATATATATATATATATATATATATATATATATATATATATATATATATATCAAATAAGTCGACATTTGATATGTTATGGGATAAACAGATATCATTATATTTTAGAATGTACTTGAAATTTTCATTTATCGAAAATGAAGATAATGCAATCAACTGAAAATTATTGGACAAATCTAGGATGACAATATGTGGATATATGTGAGATAACACTCTGATCATTATAAAACATCACATGGATAGTGAAGAAGAGAACCCGAAAGTTGTGGGTAACCTTTGAAAAGTATGAACATTTACAAGGAGATATGAAATTAATTTCGACTGTTAAGGTTTGTGTTCTTTTATTTTTCACATAATATTCGACCTAAAATAATTAAGATGTTAAAAAAACCTTAGTTGTTAATTCATTCTCCTTGTCAGGTATTTTGTCTGACTATGTACACGATATAAATGCAATTCTGACTAACCAGAGTGATTATATATATATATATATATATATATATATATATATATATATATATATATATATATATATATATGGAGTGTTCATCTATTTCGCTAAATGGACTATTCCGATCTATTTGCATTTTCTCCTGTCAAATAAGGAACAAAAAATACTTCAGTACCAAATATTTATTTATTCCAGTTGATAAGATCAGGTTAAATAGTGTGTTTTTTTTTATTTGATGTTTTTGAATTATGACTGACTATTGTGAACATCAAAATAAACCTGGGTTAATAGACATCATTGCAATTAAAACAAATTATTGATATCATGCCTACTGGTCGATGGGAATTATAATTTAATCAAATGATTGTATTAAAAAAAAATAATAAATGAACTTCTGTTGAGTCTGTTACAGGTTTAGTTGTCATTGTGTACACATACATATACATATACATATATGAACATATATGAACATATCTACATAAAAATTTAACTTAAGTATGCCCTGTTATTCACGTGCAAACGTATCGACAGATGATCAAGCGAAGTGTAGGCAGAGTAAGAGCTCATACAGGATAGATGATTGAATATGTGATTGGTTAATTTGTTGTCACTGTTAATAACTGGGATAATTTGGTGTATATACATATATAAGTATATAAATATATATTAGGTGAGCATGTCTGTAAACAATGGACTTAAGCTATCCATATCACAAACAATACCTACTCAGGTAAAATTGGCAATCTGAAATCTCTACAAAGCTCTTTTGACTTCATTCATATAAAATTCATTCATTTTTATATTCAGTAGCCTAGAATTTATTCCGTTTGATATCTTCATCAATCTATTCGTTATCATTCACTTGTTTAACTTTTATTCTAAGTAAATGATTGTTTTATCCATTAAGATAATTTAATTGAACAATTAGCTGTTACTTCACTATTCAGCTTATAAAAAAAAAACGAAAAACTATTCAAAGAGATATTTTAAAAAAAACATATATTTCATTGAATTGATGCATTCTCATTGTATTTCAAAATTATACTTGAATTTACAATTTTTAGTTTTGAAATGGTATATGTTTTGCAAGGAATATTAAATTTTCCTAATCATCAAAAATCTCAAACAATTTGTTCATTTCAATTTCCTAATGGTAATTCAAGTATTCCATCTTGGTCAACGCATACGCTGGGCATTCAACAACAACCTAATCCGAATCATTTAACTAATCCATGTATTGTAAATTTTCTCAATGGAACAACTCCAACAACACTACCAACACCAACACTAGCAACAACAACAATAACTAATTCAATCAATGATTCAATTGATCCATTCATATTACATGAACAGTGGTCAAGAGGTACAAATTTTGAATTTATTCAAGGAACTACTCTATCATCCTCACCAGGATGGAATGGAGATTATCGTACTGGCGATAATACTTTTCCAATTTTATTAGAAATGCCTACAAATATAAAGGTGGGTAAAATCTGTTCTAATTCTTTAGCTACACATTTACTGATAAATATGATAGTTCAGTTCTAATGTAACTTTTATTCTCTTGGTTAATTGACATACCAGAGAGTAGCTGGTTTAACTTAAGAAATTATAAATGATCAATGTCTTAGATACTTTTGTCATGAAATTTAAAGTTTATCTAACAGATTAGTGATGTGTAGTGCATGGATAAAAAGTAGGCTATTGACAAATTTATCATTCTTACATTAGAGAGTTTTAAGTCTCAACACATCTTTCCAATGTTTTTCTGTCGAACAAATACAATTGTACATACATAAGGTACATATATCAGAAACTGAAGCATGCCTTTTTTTTAGTTTCTTAAAGTGTGAACTTTCATATTTGAAATAACTCATTCGCATATTTGATTAATGCATCAAATATGAGAAAATCTCCGATCGCAATGTTAAATATTTCGTGAAATACATAGTTGTTGATCTATTTACTTATTCAAGCAGTATGGAAAATTTAATAATTAAGTGACAAACAAAAAACTGTCAAACACTGGTTACTTTGTAAACAAAATGATTGTTCTTTGCAGTTTTAATCACAGCTATCACTAATCCGTATGATGAGATGATATCCTAGTTTCTACGCAAGATTCCTGTATGCCAACTTTCACACTAACAGAAGTGTATAAAAGTTTCACTTCAACACAATCGATCGATTCTGTACCGGTGTTGATTGAATTGGCTTTATTCTTTCTACTGGCTTAGTATTGATGGTAGTTAGTAGGAAACTAGATATGACCATTCATGCATGCAGACTAATTATTAACTGAAATGCTAGCCTTTAAAAAGGTAGATTGTACATTGGAATAACTTGTTTTCAAACTAACCTTAATAAAATGAAGACGTGTTGTAGACGCATTTTTTTTATATATTTGGTTTTAAATTACATGTATATAGTTTCTGCCAAAAAGGTTGATTAACATCATTGATCGAAAATTGTTCTTAAATAAAAGGTTACAATTCATTAAATTTTATGTTTCGTTCATATGTTTCAGTCAAATATATCCTCTATTGGTAAACCGTACAGTCATGAACTAGAACTACAACTTGATCTATTATTACAAAAACTATTTTCTTTTAGCTCCGTTTGTAAGTGAATCATGCCTTTTCATTAGATATTCTGGTGTACTGTCCTCTCGCAACTTTTAAGTTATTTTGAAATCATGAATAGAAACGTGTTAGATCACCATCGTTACCCCAAAGCACCAGGAAGCCATTTATCTTAGTATAGAAGTATACAATCATGTCTACACACATGAGAATTGAACACAGGATCTTTGGTTTTCGATTCGCAGTGGCGATTAGGGTTTTATGTTTCATCCAGTCTGTGAACTGACAGCTGAATGAACGTGAAATCCAAAGATGGTATTTTTTCTAAACTAATACTAATCTTATTACCCTAGATATTAATTCAGTTTGATATTTTGTTTATACTATGATAAAAACATGTAATTATTCAGAAGATATAACAACGAGGTTGTAACAAGTTTTTTTACTTTTGTAAATAATCCCAACAAAAGATAATTTTCATGATCAAAGACAGCCATTACCATAGTCTACTGAGATTATGATTGATTCATAGGAATATATTTTATTAAAAACTGTATATTAAAAAAGCTCAAACTATTTTGAACAGCAAAAAGACGCTATATTTAGCTTAATTATTTGTGGAGGGATTGCGAAGTTTTCAAAATTATTTAGAAAATATAATAACCAAACATTTTTAACCAGATCCAATACAGTATTTTACGGAATCAATGAGATGAAAACTTTATGCAGTTAGCAACAGCTATCCATTATTAATTGTTGATATTATGTGAGAAATCAGTGAAAATCAAAAATGTGCTATCTAGCTTTTTTATTCTGACCTTGTTATACTAGTCATTAGGTATGTTTAAAGCTAATAAGGGTTCACCATAGTCGAATAACGAGAACAAAACAATGAACCAGTGTCCACGTAGGCTACTCTGATCCGATTGTCCCGATTGTACCAGCAAGAATTCTTGATATAGCGTACAAAGTGTATTCTACAAACACCCATCCAGCACAAAATGAATCCAAGCACTCAAATTGCGTTTATTTCCACTCCATGAAGACGTCCTTGTGACAGTCACAAAAATAGCACACTAACGTGCCACAGTAACCAATCACAGCTGTTCCGTTGGGACATGTGATCTCAAGGTCAACTGATCGGTCCATGAAATAAATCCAAAATGAAGATATTTATCAAGCGAGTTCAGGGGATCTAACATCCCCAACAGAACCAATGTTAATCCTTTGTAAAATCAATATTCCAAATCAAAGCATTCCTAATGAACAGTTAATTTAGTAAATAATGAACGTTTGTGCTTGTTGTTAGCGAATTCCAAGATCGAATTCAAGATTTATTGAATTAGTCGAGTATCAAACAAAACTTTAACTTTGTAATGCTGTTGAATGAACTAAACATTTGATCTTAAACTTGCTAAAATTGATTTTAAAATGTGAAATCATGCACGTGATTATTTTAAGGTACCAGTATTAACCTATTTTGATAGAGTATAGTTGACATTAATGTAAAATAGATACGAACACACCATACGCTGCTTTCAAGTTCTAATTGTTTAAGTACCAATAATTTGCAATGATAACTGCAAGTTGATACTAATGAAGAAATTATAAGCCCATGTATAGAAGATGTATTGGCCTAATATTCGACTGTTCTTAATAAAATAAATGCTAACTAATCGTTGACTTCGATAAGTATGCATTATCTTGAAGACTCGTATATTTTTAAAGAGAGATGTATTTTCCATAGTTTAGAAACTATCTCAAACAACATCTTGTCACATTTAATTGATTATAAGTAAATAATTTAAATAGATATTTTAATTAAAATTATGTCACGTAATATGGACTAGTTCAAGTAGTTTTGTATTTTTAGTCACGTTTAATCATTGATCTCTTTGGATTTTAATCCGATTATTCCCGTTTTCGAATATATATATATATATATATATATATATATATATATACTCCCTATATTCATAAAGTTAGTTTTCTCGTTGACTTACCATCTCCAGATATACTGATGAGGTGCCTTATTTGAAACTGGCCAAGATGACATCACTTGTCATCGACTCACATCACCTCGAAGAATTTATAACAGCGTGGTTTAATAAGGCTTATAATATCCTGCTAATATTGATTTCAAGTAGCCTTCCCTGTTTATTTATGTAATTTGATTCTTTATTTCTGACAATGATTTCAACAGGCTAATTTTGATCAGATCGCTCGAGATTTATTCAGTTACAAAAATACAGAGTTATGATAAAATTCATTTTCTCATTAAATTGACGAACTATTTGTTGACTAGTGTTATAAATTTCTTAAAAGAGAATTATATTATCTGAAAATTTAAATTCTGAAGTCGATTGTATCAACAGAAAATATTAGCTGGAAAATTATTACAACTAAAATGCTAATTTGAAGTTCTGACTACACGCTGCAACCATTTCGATATGTATTACCAATCGGTTGTGAGTTTGGTGCTATATTTCAAACATCAGACTTCGAAAGTATGGTCGATTTCTATTGTTTTGGTTTTAAAACCCTGAACTTCGAAGAAAGAGTTCCAAGTTGATAATTTATATGGTTTGTAAATAGTTAGCGTTCTTAGTTATAATCGTATTTCAAAATCCCCTTATTTAACCTGCTATATTTAAAAGGCAAAGAAAATTACGTAGTTTTTAAGCAGTAATAATACATCATAATTACTTTTCTATTTGACATCACCATGTTAATTTTTGCCGAATACTATGCAAACTGTTAGCAGTTTCCGTGTTGACAACTTGCTAACATTATAACAATTTCCAAGTTACATTTGATGAAAACCACTTAAATAATAGGATGGACAAAATTTTATTCCGAAGAAATTGTAGAGAACTAAAATATTCAAATTCTATATCTATGTGATATTTGAATATAAAACAATGAAAATATTTGACAGAAACAAGCATCAGTGACTGTTCTAAACTTACCCCAAGTCACAAACAACTACAAATTTTAGGACAGTTATTAATTATTTGTGCCTGGTTTATCAGATACGAACCTTTCGATGAATTTTCGAATGATGAGGCTTCAAAATATAATTAAGGTGTAACAAGTGAACCTCTAACTAACTGACCATTATTAGTTTTCACGTATGAATGCCTTGCCAAATATATTCTTCAGGTCAACTCCATCTTCTCACTGTTCTATCAAAATCCATATACAAGAAGTGCAGATTACGGCAAAATACAATCAGCAAACCTGTACAATGCAGTTTAAGAAAAACATTTATTTATCGAATTGGTGCTTCATTTATCATTTTGAATACAACCTGATGCCTTGGTAAATTTGAACTCAAGGAAAACAGTGATTTGTAAAATAATATTACTAAGTATACAATTTTTTATAATAATATGAAAAATATTCAAATCTTTCAGTCTATGAAGTGAGATTTGCAATGGTACAGAAAAACATAAACTGCATGAAAAGTATGACTATCTACTTGATGCTGTGGCTAAGATTGGCAAAGCCAATATATACAACTTATATTTGGACATTCACCTAACATTCGAACATGACGTTCATTTTCATTTTTTAAAAAACATTTGTGTCTTATTCGTTAGCAATGTTTATGACCTGCCTATTGGTGTCTATTCTATCACAGTTGGGGATGTTAAATCCCCAAAACTCGCTTGTTAAACGCCTAATTTTGGATTTCATGTTTGCGAACATGGGCTAATAAGTTGACCTTGAGATTTCATTTCCCAGCTGGAAAATCTAAGGATGTGATTGGTTGCTGTGTATTTTAGTGTGCTATTTTCGAAACTGTCCCAAGGACGTTTCTGTGATGTATAAATAAACGAGAGTTGTGTGGTTGGTTGCATTGTGATTGCTGGGTGTTTGTAGAATATACTTTCTACG